TTTTTATTCGAACAAATTTCACATGATTTATTCATTTCAAAGAAATGACACATTTTAAAAATTAAAGACTAATTATTTTATATGAAATAGTTGTCAGCCTGATTCATCTGGTAATAATACTCGCTAAGTGTTCTGTTAGAAAAACGGGATGAACTAAGTTTTATTCCTAATTTACTTATTTATGAAGACGAATGATATTAGTAATAAGTTACATAAGATTCACATATTCCAAATTTATAATAATATAATTTGGCAAAATATAAATTTTCTACGTAAGAAAAATGTTTAATATATATTGTTGCCTATCCAAAATGCTACACCATGAAAAATAACAAACTTTAAAGCACTATTTATTACATAAACAACATTCCTACCACTGATAAAATAATTAAAATAATAAATATTTGAATAAAACGGTGATATTTGAGTTCACTAGTTATACAATCTATACAGTTTACAGGTGTTGAATCTAATGTTATCCTGTAGAATAACGCCATATTATGGATAAATATTACTATAATCTAGATTCCTTTGAAAATATGATTTTTTTCTGTACATGTTTTGTTTTCTATATTTTATTTCAAAATACATTTGTGATTCGGAGTCAAAACTAGTCGTAGTACTGAATGCTTTCAAAATTTTCCGGCTACGACAGATGACACAATGTCGAAAAATATGTGGTAACTCTGACAAATGTGCATTGCCTAGAAAAAGAATTTCATCATACAGAAAATAGAATTATGTACTTTTCATTACATAGAGAATAGTAATTATTTTACATATAGAATGCATTACGTAAGATAATAGTAGTAGTAATAATATATCTAAGCCACGTACTTAGGACATGCTGGGCAATGCTGCTTTCTCAATTAATCAAAATTCTTCTGTAATTACGAAATAATTTTCAATGTACCAGTACGTACAATGTACCTTACGTAGATAAAAATCACCCCATTAAATATTATACACATTACATAGAGAATAAATTTGTTTAATATTGTTATATGATGATGCATAAAACCACATGTAAAATATGTCTATCAATAGTGTGACAAGAATTTTGTATACATATACTCGTAGAAATGTTTCGTTTTTTTTCTGAGTAACCTAGAAACCCAATAAAACACATTTTAAGGGTAACACAGAATGTACTCACATGACTGCTCGTGTTCCTCTAAAACTCATATGACCAGAGTTTGTTTCTTTTCCTTCAACACGAGACAGAACATCACTAAAATGTTATCGATACTAAAATTTACTGTACTCACCATATTATTATAAATGGGCAATAGAAGGCTGCAGGCAATTGATATATAGAAGATAAATTCTGGAGTGACCATAGTGATAAATTCAACATTTGAATGGAAACCAAGGTTGTTTCACGCTAAAGTTAATGAAACTAGTCCATCTGATAAGGTCTTTAGATAAATAAATTTTTCTGAAGGATTAACAACTACAATCTATAATTCTACCTGGGTTGATCTCAGATATGCACTCATATCACGTGACAAAATTGAAATTTTTTTCCCAATATATGTTATTATGAAGGAAAAATTATGCGAAAACTTTATATCAATATTTATATCAGATTATAAGAAAATGAATGATTCAATTACAAGTGCAGTTCACTCCAAGGTCGGAGATTTTCAGTGTTCTCGAGTTTTCATTAAATCTAATTGCCTGGCCTGCGGCAGACCTTAATTATCACACGGCGTGTTTCAAAAAGCAACAGTGGCTCACTTTGAAAACAGTCGGAAACTCCGGTCTATCCCATCACTTCAGAGAAAACAAAACACTTCTGGTCGACTCGACTCAGAACTCCCTCTCAAAAAACTTCCTTTTGAGATAATTCAAGACCGGGGATTATCTTCCCTCACTTCTTATTTGCGTAGACTTTTCAGCTCGTGGTTTATCACTAATCACAATGGAACAACTCGTGGTGTAGTCCATATTCTGCCTGTAATTATATCGACTTGTAAAGGTCGCAAAGGCATTCACTAATTTTATGAGTCTTATTATACATGATACCAAATATCTGCTATCAGATTTGAGTGACAAGTTGTTCTCATTAGTATAAAACACCAATTGCATGCAATATAACTATTCATAATATTGCTTGTCTGTTGTCAAATTTTAGTGATAGGTTGTTATGATATACGTGTAAAATTACGTGTATTATTCGCTTCGGTTAATGAAAGATAAACCACTTCCCTTGAGAAAAAAATACTATAGAATTTTGGGCAAATATTATGAAACACATAAGCAAGTAATAGTAATTTGAAATAGACAGCATCAATAATTAAATTACATTTCTATTTTTTACTAGCTTTTAACAAATATGTTAAAAATGTTCCTAATACAGTCTCAATATTTTGTTTTCGTAAAATAAATATAGTCTAGTCTGCAATGCATCAAAGAAAATAGTTTTGAAAAATGAAGTAATAGCTAAATTAAACTTCGGTCATTAACTTATTATTATAGTTATTTTTTTTTTAGTCTCTTCGATTAAAATATAATGTCAGTGTGTATCCCAATTAAGTTATTTCTTAGCTGAGAAAAAAAGTATAAGAAATGATCATCATCAGTCTTTAAATTCCTATTATACATTGCAAGAAAAAAATGTTAGAACAAAAAAATACCAAAATTATTATTTTTTTTCAAATCTTTCTTTGCTTTATTTTGTCTGGGTAGGCGACAGCTGTAATTGGCAGAAGAATTTAATGCTGCTAAGTAACACAATCATCTGTCAGAAACAACAGTCTATTACTGATTTCATACGTTGCTTAATCGAGTGCAAAGATCTTTATTTAAGAAACAAGATTCATTCTACGTTCCATTAAACGGAATAAATAAGAATTTCATGTAACATGTGATTGATTCGAAAATATGTTTTGGATACAATCATTTTTTGAATAAAAAATTTTCTATAATTGTTAATACAATCTACCGTAAAAATTGTGCATGTATTTTTTAACAAATGCGAAAATTTTATTTAATATTCTTAATTATTTATCTATTATTTTGTATTATTTCCCGATATATTATTAACTTAATATATACACTGAAGTGACAAAAGTCATGGGATACCTCTTAATATCGTGTCGGCCCTCCTTTCGCCCCGTGAAGTGCAGCAACTCTACGTGGCATGGACTCAACAAGTCGTTGGAAGTCTTCTGCATTAATATTCAGCCATGCTGTCTCGATAGACATTCCATAATTGTGAAAGCATTGATGGTGCAGGATTTTGGGCACGAACAGACCTCTCGAAGATGTCCCATAAATGCTCGATGGGATTCATGTCGGGCGATCTAGGTGGCCAGATCATTCGTTGGAATTGTCCAGAATGTTCTTCAAACCAATCGCGAACAGTTGTGGCCCGGTGACATGGTGCATTGTCATCCATAAAAATCCCATCGTTGTTTGGGTACATGAAGTCAATGAATGGCTGCAAGTGATCTCCAAGTAGCTGAACATAAGCATTTCCAGGCAATGTTCGGTCCAGTCGCCCCAGAGGGCCAAGTCCATGCCATGAAAAATCAGCCCACACCATTACGGAGCCACCACCAGCTTGAACAGTGCCTTGCTGACAGTTTGGGTCCATGGCTTCGTGGGGTCTGCGCCACACTCGAACCCTACCATCAGCTCTTACCAACTGAAATCGTGACTCAATGACCAGGCCACGGTTTTCATTCATCTAGGGACCAACCGATATGCTCACGTGCCCACGAGAGTCGCTGCAAGCGATGTCGTTCTGTCAGTAAAGGCACTCGAGTCGGTCTTCTGCTGGAATAGCCCAAGAAAGCCAAATTTCTCCGCACAGTTCTAACAGACAAGTCCCTTGTACGTCCCACATTGATTTCTGCGATTATTTGACGCAGTGTTGCTTGTCTGTTAGAATTTACGACTCTTTGCACACGTCGCCGGTCTCGGTCGTTAAGTGCAGGCCGTCGACCACTGCGCTGTCCATGGTGGGATGTTATGCCTGAAATTTCATACTCTCGGCACACTCTTGACACAGTGGATCTGGGAATGTTGAATTCCCTAACGATTTCCGAAATGGCATGACCCATGCGTCTAGCTCCAACTAACATTCCGCGTTCAAAGTCTGTTAATTCCCGTCGTGCGGTCACCATCACGTCAAAACCTCTTCACATGAATAACTTGAACAGAAATGAAAGCTCTGTGAAAGCACTGCGCATTTATACCTGTTCTACGCGATGCTGCTGCCATCTGAAAATTTGCATATTGTTATCCCATGACTTTTGTCACTTCAGTGTATATATATATAAATTGATTTTCAATTCCATCAGTAAAATACGGGATGGTTATAATTAAAGTGACCCTATTCAAATCCCTTTAGAACCCGCTATGCCTAACGGATTTTGATGTCGGTAAATAAGTAACACTATAAAAGATGATAATTCATTAAATGTCTGCATTCGTAATTATTAAAATTTAATTCAATAACAAATTAAGTAGTGCGCCCAAGGATAATCGTGTATTTCAATTAGAGATAACCATAAATAATAATTTGCCACATTTAAAAGATTTTTAATAAAATCATAATCATTTCAGTAATATGTGTGAAGTTTAAAATATGTTTAATAAAATTATGATTATTTCAGTTATAAATGTTACATTTAAAGGATGTTTAGTAAAATTATGATTATTTTAGCTTCTAAACAAAACTTAAAATATATTAATTTTACTCTTAAATATACATACATATATGTTGTTGTTGTTTCTTATCCCACTTGGCTGGCCAAGCCCACGAGCCCATATGGACTCATGATTGAAGGGGAAGGAAGCAGCTTCTGTTGTGATGGAGCACCCCGTAGGTAGAAGCCTGACTTTTGCTCCGTGACGCTCTTACAGTCATAGAAGACCGGGACCTACGGCTTAAAGTGGATTCCGAACCACTACAAACATCCATGGCAACGCCGGGATTCGAACCCGAAACTTGTGACACCGAGCGTCAGACACTCGGCCATGCAGGTCCCAAATTTGCCAGCATTTGCCACCCAAGTACTGACCGCGCCCAATGATGCTTAACTTCGGTGATCTAACGAGAACCGGTATATTCAGCATGGTACGGCCGTTGGCTATATATATATATATATATATTTGGAGATAAAATTTGCAATCTATATATTTTTAATTCAGAAATAAAGAATCAAAATTGTACATTAAAATATTTGTATTGCAGGCTCATAAATATATAAAATTTTGTATAATATTCAACCTGTATTCAATTTAATTTTATGACTTTTTATTTTAACTCAAAATTTGAAATAACTGTTAATATAGTAGTCAATATTGAAAAATTGATAGAATCCAAGGATCATATAAGACCAGAAGAAGTAAAAATATTCACTTCAAGATAATGTATATTAGGAATTCTGTAATTCGTTTAAACAAATCATATAGTTTCAAATTACGAAGTAATTTCTCTTCGTACAGAAAAGTGATCCTTCAATAATTTAATCAAATGGAGCATATCAAAAGTCAAATATAGATTTTTTAAATGCAGTGATTTATATGAAGATAAAAAATATTTTGAAGTAACAATTGGAGGAACGAACTACTTTTTTCCTTTAATTCCCTTTGAATTCTTCAAAGGAAATGAAAGGAGAGAATGAGAAATGATTTGTGTTTTAATCGCATTCTTTAATGTGTGAAAAAAAAGCAAGAAAAATATGCTAACAACGATAATAACGCCTTACAAGTATTGAAAAGTTTTATATTAATATTCATGAGCGTTCTATTTGGATGACTCGAAAATCAATTCCAACTAAATCGAATTTCGCACCTGATAGAATTAAACAAACGTAAAAAGAATAGAAAAAAATACTATAGGTGGAATAGAGAATCGATTCTAGTCATTTAGCACATATAAGGCTCCGAACAGCTTTACATTTAAAAGATGTTTACTAAAATTATGACTATTTCAGTTATAAATGTTACATTTAAAAGATGTTTAGAAAAATTATGATTATTTTCGTTTCTAAACGAAATTTAAAAGATATTAATTTTACTCTTGCTGATAAATATATATATATATATATATATATTTGGAGGTAAAATTTACAAACTATATACATATTTTTTAAAAATAAGGAATAAAAATTGTAAATTAAAATATTTGTAATGCAGGCACATAAATATATAAAATTTTGTATAATATTAGATCGGAATTTAATTTAATTTTATAACTTTTTAATATAACTCAAAAATTTGAAATAATTATTTATATAGAAGTCAATATTGAAAAATTGAAATAAAATCCAATGATCATATACGATCAGAAGTAAAAAAATTCACTTCAAGACAATGTATATTAGATATTCTGTAATTAGTCTTAAAAAACATATAATGTCAACATACAAAGTAATTTTTCTTCTTACGTAAAAGTGATCCTTCAATAATTAAATAAAATGGAGCGTATTAGAAGTCAAATAAATATTTTTTAAAGGGAGTAATTCAAACAAAGATACAAATATTTTGAATGTAACAATTGGTGTAACAAATTATATTTTACCCTTAATTCCCTTTGAATTCTTCAAAGGAAATGAAAACAGAAATCACATTCTTTAACGTGTGAGAAAAAGCAAGAAAAGTATGCTGAAATCGAAAAATATGCCTTAAAAGTATTGAAAAGTTTTATATTAATATTCATGAGTGTTCTAATTGGATGACTCGAAAACCAATTCCAACTAAATCGAATTTCGCAAATGATAGATTTAAACAATTGTAAAACGTAATAGAAAAAAAATACTGCGGGGAAATAGAGAATCGATTCTAGTCATTTAGCACATATAAGGCTCCGAACCGCTTTAACGACCAGCTTTAACTTTTTATTTTCTTTTCAAACACAAGTCTCACACCCCTCCACCGCTTGACCTTTAGAATCCTACCAAATTAGAACAGTTACGATTTGAAAAGGAACAACTTGCCTCAGCCTTTCCCTCTACAAAACGGGAGAAACTTGGGGGAAGAAGAAGGAAAAAGCCATTTGCCGGCGGGACGATTATTTCAGCAGATAAACATCTCCAGCTACCAATGGAGCACGAAGACAGAATCAAACTGGTGAAGTCTTTGATACGAGATAAAAGGAGTAAGAAAGAAATAAGAACTTCCAGTGAGAGAAAGAGAGAATATAATCTCAAACTCAAGAATTTGAAACTTTCTGACAGAAGACAAAGTTTTCCTTCACCGTGAGCATGTTAAATCTTTTGTTTTGGAGAGAAGAATTTGTTTCCAATTCGCTGAATCTTTCTCATTTTACATTCTTGTGAGAGTTCACCACGAGAGATTGAGTAATTTGAGATGCTGTTTCATTTTAACATCGAACACAATTTCACTGATATTCGAAAAAGAACAACATAGTACACGCAAACTTCTATTCTTGTCCTTTCCAGTGAATCTTCCAAAGCGGACTAATTAAGTCGGGACAATTGGTTATGAATACAATCTAAACGTTCAATTATTCCCGTTCTCCCAAAGGGCTCTTGATAGGAAGCATTATTTTATTAATTACTTACAGTTACACGGAAAGGATTATTTTTCATAACTATTTTAATTATTCGGAGTATATTAAAACTATAATTTTGTCAAATGATAATTAAGGTTATTAAATTATCATTTTTGAAAATATATTAATGAGTTTGAAATTTTCTCAAAATAAAGACAGCAGAACCTTAGTAGCTCTGATGTCTTTTATAAATCTTGTCTATTAGGAAATATTCAAATTTTAAATATTTGTATGATATTTAATACTTTGTATTAGGCTTTAAAATTCAGTTAATCATTGTCTAATTAATTAATAAATTATATCAATATTGAACTGTTAATTTTCAAAATTATTTTTATAATACTTACACAATAAGCTTTTAATATTTGAAACGGCACATTGAAAACAAAAACAAAAACAATTCATATTATATCAAATTACGAAGTAATTTCTTTTCATACATAAAAGTGATCTCTCAATAATTTATTAAAATGGAGCGTATTAGAAGTCAACTATAGATTTCTAAATGGAGTGATTTATATAAAGATAAAAATATTTTGAAAGTAACAATTGGAGTAACGAATTAATTTTTTTCCTTTAATTCCCTTTGAATTCTTCAAAGGACAAGAAAGTAGAGAATGTGAAATGATTTGTGTTTTTATCACATTCTTTAACTTTTAAAAAAAGAAGAAAAAAATATGCTAAAAGCGATAATAACGCCTTGAAAGTATTGAAAAGTTTTATTTTAATATTCATGAGCGTTCTATTTGGATGACTCGAAAATCAATTCCAACTAAATCGAATTTCGCACATGATAGAATTAAACAAATGTAAAAAATAATAGAAAAAAAACACTGCAGGGGGAATAGAGAATAGATTCTAGTCATTTAGCACATATACGACTCCGAACAGCTTTAACGACCAACTTTAACTTTTTTTTCTTTTTGAAAACAAGTTCCACCCCCGCCTCCACTCCTCGGCTTTCAGAATCCGGCCAAATTAGAACAGTTACGATTTGAAAAGGAACAACTTGCCACGCTTTTCCCGCTACAAAACGGGAGAAACTTGGGGAATAAGTAGGAAAAAGCCATTTGCCAGTAGGACGATTATTTCAGAAGAAAACATTTCCAGCCACCAATGAAGCACGGAGACAGAATCAAACTGATGAAGTCTTTCATACGATATAAAAGGAGTAAGAGAGAAATAAGAACTTCCAGTGAGAGAGAGAGAGAATATAATCTCTAACTGAAGAATTTGAAACTTTCTGACAGAAGACAAAGTTTTCCTTTACCGTGAGCATGTTAAATCTTTTGTTTTGGAGAGAAGAATTTGTTTCCAATTCGCGGAATCTTTCTCATTTTACACTAGCGTGAGAGTTCACCACGAGATATTGAGTATTTTGATTATTTTGATATCGAGCACAATTAAGCTGATAGTCGAAAAGGAACAACAAAGTACACGCGAGATTCAATTTTTGTCCTTTCCAATGAATCTTCAAAAGCGGACTAATTAAGTCGTGACAATTGATTATGAATACAATCTAGGCTTCACATTAGTTGTCTCGAAAATGCTCTTAAAAGGAAGCATTGTTTTAGTAATTACTCACTGCTACACTGAAATAATTATTTTTTATAACTAATTCAATTAAACAGATCATATTAAAAAGATAATTTTATCAAAGGTTAGTTAAATTTATTAAATTATTCTTTCCAAAACGGTATTAATGAGTTTAAAATTTTGCTTAGTATTTCTAGTATCCTTCATAAATTCTCTCTATTCTGAAATACTCAAAATTTAAAATATTTGTATAATATTTAATACTTTGCATGATGATTTAAAATTCTCTAATTTATTGTGTAATTAAATAATAAATTATATCTATATTGGACTGTGTTTTCTCAAAGTTATTTTTATCATACTTACACAATAAACTTTAATCATTGAAATACCAAATTAAACAAACATAAATCAAATTATTTCAAAATGCAAAGTAATTTCTTTTCGTACATAAAACATACATCTCTAATCGTACATACATCTCTAATTCAAGAATTTGAAACTTTCTGATAGAAGACAGAAGTTTTCCTTGACCGTGAGCATGTTAAATCTTTTGTTTTGGAGAGAAGAATTTGTTTCCAATTCGCTGAATCTTTCTCATTTTACACTCTTGTGAGAGTTCACCGCGAGAGATTGAATGTTTTGGGATGCTGTTTTATTTTGATATGGAACACGATTTCGCTGATATTCGAAAAGGAACAGCACACTACACGCAAACTTCAATTTTTGTCCTCTCCAACTAATCTTCCAAAGCGGACTAATTAAATCGTGATAATTGATTATGAATACAATATAGGCTTCAAATTATTTCCTACTTCCAAAGGACTCTTGACAGGAATCATTATTTTAGTAATTACTTCTGAAGACTTACTTTTTATAACTATTTTAATTATTCGAAATATATTAAAAAGAGAGATTTGTTAAACAATAACTCATTTTATTAAATTATCATCTTAAAAGTTAAATGAATGAGTTTTAAATTTTGCTTTTTAACTCGGATGTCATTTATAAATTATCTATTCTGAGATATTCA